AGCTAGGGGGAGGGGCAGGTCACGGGGATGGGGGAAGGGGCCCAGGAAGGACTGTGAACTCCAGAGGCTTACGACAGGGAATGGGGGGTCAGGGTGACTCTGCAGAAGCCTGGCGGGGGTGAGGAAGACGGGCTGGGGCTGCGCGGGGGTGAACACAGGGAGAGCGCCTGCCCCTGGCTCGCGTGTTCTACAGAATCCTAGATGCACCTCTTTTGTTTTCAAAAACATCACATTGCACAGCCAGACCATTTACATAACCTGAGCCCTGCTGCCACTCTGCCAGACCAGTCAAAGTCACGGACTCCTGCGTTTAGGAAAAACCATGGAATCTCAGTTTGGGGGTAACACTGTAGTGACACAGATAAAGCATATGGTCTGTAAAGCACAAAAACCAGTCCGTGGCCAATCACTCCACAGCGGAGGATGTGAAGTAATAAGCAAGGGGAGGAAGGTGTGTGATGGGAAGGATGGGAATAGGCACAGCCTCTCCCTCTCTGACAGGCCGCGCCCTGGGTCCTGTGACCGGCGGCTCTGCTCGCTGCCAGGGACCCTCCACGGCTGCCGTTCTGGCCGGGCGCTCAGGCTGCCGGAGGAAGGAGGGTGTGATCACAGGCAGAGGAGGTGACAAGGTCAGAAGCCACTTCCCCGCACAGGCAGAGTGTGGAGAAGGCCGGTGTTCCACCAGACACACGGGGGCTCTGTCTTCCCTGCACAATAGCCCACTGGGGTGCAGGGCTGGGTGGGGCGGCTCCCGGGGGCCTGGTCCTCGCCTTGTCCTGCCCACTGCTCTGCGGACGCCCCCTCCCCCCACCCCCCATTTCGTTAGCACCTGGGGCCAGGGCCCTGGACAGAAAGAGCTTCTAAATCGCAATGGTATTTGGTATCTGGTTAACTAGTGCTGAGGGGGATTTAAGTGTTCAAGGTGTTTAAATCGTTTTCGTTTTTGCCACAGACTGAGATCTTTCTGTTAAAGACTCCTGGGCGCCCGGGTTTATTTCTCATCTTCACCAACTTCGGGAGCTCCTCTCCCCCACCCCCCACCCCCCCATACACACACACACACACTTTCCACAAAGACGCCCACAGCTCCTCGGAGAGCTGCCTCCGGGGACGCTCCCGCTCTGTGCCCCCCGGGCTCCCCTGGCCCTGGGTTCGGTTCTCCACGTGGCACGCAGCTGCTGGGCCACACTGGCTGGAAACGAGGCATCACATGACCCAGTCAGTCACAGGGACCACGGGTCACTGGGTCTATTTTGTTCCCCAAACTGCAAAACGTCTCGCAGGCGTTGGTGAGATTCTCTAGTCTAGTTGTCAGTCGAGCTGAGCTACTAAACCAGTGGTTCTCCACCTTCCTAATGCCGCGACCCTTTCATACAGCTCCTCACGTTGTGGTGACCCCTCGCCATAAAATTATTTTCGTTGCTACTTCATCACTGTAATGTTGCTACTGTTAATGAATCGTAATGTAAATATCTATGTTTTCCGATGGTCTTAGGCGACTTTGTTGGCCTCACAACCAGGCAGAAGGGCCTCCACTTACATGAGGGAAACAGGCTCAGACCACCTGTCCAGGTCACAGAGTTAACAGTCCAGTGTCAGCATTTGAACCCCACAGAGCCTGGGTCTGTTACTTCACGCTGCCCCCTGCTGGCGAGTGGGAGGAGCGCACAGAGCCACCTGGTAGAAATGTTCAGAAGCCATTCCACAAATGTTGGTTGAGTCCACTGTGTGCCAAGTCTGTATTGGCTCCAAAACACAGTAACAGACAAGATGGACAGGCTCCCCCACCTGCCCTGAGAGACAAACAGAAACAGGGAAGCATCAAGCTGAGCAGGACTGAGAGGGCAAAGGTTAGGGGTCAGGAGTCGAAGGCACGTGAGAGGCCAGCTTTTTCTTAAAAGAGTTCAGTGTGGCTAAAGGGGATGAGTGAGGGTGTGAGGGATGAGGCTGGAAGCAGGTCTCAAAGGGTGACAGAAGCCAAGGAAGGGGGTTACCCGTTAGGAAGTCACTAACTAACCTGGAGGATCAGTGCGAGGGCTAGGTCCACTCATCAACAAATGTTTGAGCACCTGCATGCACCACCAATTGTTCTTTTTTCCTCTTCAAGTCAGATGATGGGCTTGGCAATTTTAGATACTCCTTAAAGAACGAGACTTTTAACAATGTTTTTATTGATTTTAGAGAGGATGGGAGAGGGAGAAAGAAACATTGACATGAGAGAGATACATCGATTGGTTGCCTTCCATTGAACCCACTAACTGGGCCTGTGCCCTGACCGGGAGTTGAACTGGTGACCTTTAGGTGCATGGGATGATGCTCAACCACCTGAGCCACACTAGCCAGAGCCAGGAACTACTCTTGATGTGGGACACATCGGTGAAAGGTAAAGTCGGTCTCCATGGGGCTCACAGCCTAGTCGGAGATAAACAAATTTGTCACCTATGTGTAATATCCAGCTGGTGAAACCATGGTGGGGAAGAGGACAGGTGAGTGGGTTTGCTAGGGCCGCCATCGCAAAATACTGCAGACCAGGTGGCTTACTGTCCTCACAGCTCTGGAGGCCAGAGGTCCGGGAGCACGGTGTCGGCAGGGTTGGGTTTCTTCTGAGCCTTTCTCCTTGGCTTGCAGACCGCCATTTCTCTGTGTCTCCACCTGGTCTTCCCTCTGTGCCTCACTTCCTCTTCTTATAAGGACCCCAATCATATCGGATTGGGGTCCACCCATACACCTCTTTTTATCTTAATTACCTCTCTCAAAGCCCTGCCTCCAGTCACATCTGAGACACTGGGGGCTGGGACTTCCACATAAGAATTCTAAGGGACACGATTCAGCCCATAACCAGAGGCCAGAAGCCAGTAAGACAGAGGGAGGGGAGGGTCTGGAATATTTTATGTAGATAATACGGGAGGGCCTCTGATTTGAGATCTGTGTGAAGGGAGGGAGCCAACCATACAAATGTCTAGGAGCACATTGCAGGGAGAGGAAACAGCGCAAAGATCCCCGTGAGGACAGGACTTGGGGTTTTAGGACATACAAGACAGGAGAAGGCGAGGGTGTCCTGGGGCCCGGGAAGCCAGGGGAGAGTTGAGAACAGAAGACTGATGTGATCTGACTTGTGTTTTAAAAGCAATGGCCATGCAGAGACTAAAACGGGGGAGAGGGAGAGGGCAGAATAGGATTTTGCAATAAGGCCAGGCGAGAGACGATGCTGGGATTAGACAGCAGCGAGGGAAGCCTTGAGAAGTGGCCAATTCTGGATTCAGTTTGAAGAGATCCAACAGGACTGACTGATGGATTCCATGTGAGAGGAAGAGGAATGAAGGGAAATTCCAAGCCTCTGGGTGAACAGTGGTGCCGTCTGCCTAGGTGAGGAAGCTGGCGGGAGAGGCTCTATTTGAGGAAGTGAGAGAATTGAGAGTTGACTGTGAACAAGGGGAAGTTTAATTTATATTAAATATCTTACATACCCCCGTGGTGCTAGTGAGGACACAACTGGAAATGAGAATTCAGGGGAAAGGTTCAGATTTAAGATATAAATTTAGGGGACGTTATATCAGTGAGGTCACTGGGATGAGTGTAGGAGAAAAGGACTGAGCCCTGAGACACCTCAGCACTTAGACTCAGCAAAAACCTGAGAGGTTGAGAAGCTGGAGGGACAGCCAGGAGTATCTGTCATGGCAGCCAATGACAAAAATCTCAAGGCTGCTGCCGAGAACCTAAGAAAGAAGAAGGGACAGTGGCCACTGGACGAAGCATTCAGAGGTCACGGATGATTTTGACAGGAGCCGTCTGCATGGATGTGGAAGAAATGGCCACCTAATCACAGTTGGTTCAAGATGAGTCTGAGGTGGCACATGTGAGGAACTCCTTTGAGAAGTTTTGATGAAAAGGGGAGAGAAAAAAAGAGCACAGTTCCAAGATGTGGGGAAAAATTTAACAGGAAACTGCACAGTATATTTGTTTGCTGCTGGCAGGGACTGACAGGAAGAGGAAATCCACACGCAGATGAGGAGTCAGTGTGGAGCTGGAGCGCTGGCCGTGGGGAGGAGGGATGGTCCGTTCTCAGTATCGGGAAGGCCTTTGGCCACCAACACAAATGGGTGAGCAGACTCGGCAGTGGCCATGGTGGGGGGACCACTTCTCTCTTCCGATGGCTTTTACTTTCTTAGTTATTATCAGAGTGAGGAAGGGAAGGGGATACTGAAGATCATGGACAAAGAGATGGGAACAGATTCATGAAATCTGAACTGATGAAAACAGAGGAAACCGTGCGAATAAGGGGACAAGGACAGACTTTCGGTTTGGCAACTGAGTGGATGGTGGAGGGACGTTCATTCAGAAAGGGAGGCGTGTGAGGGAGGGTTAGCAGGAGAGGGAGGTTGGATTCTGACATGGAAAATTTGTGTCTTTGGTACATCCCAGTGGACAGGAGTGTCGCAGCTCAGAAGAGAATCCTGAGCTGAGTAGTAGTCCTGGGAGTGTCAGCAGAAAGGTGGGTGGGAGTGGAGAGGCTTAGTGATTTAAACGGGTCGGTTGTTGGAAAGATTCTGAGGAAGGAGGAGGAAACGGATAAGGGAATAGGGGGGCTGACAGGTGCCCTTGGCGCTGAGTTAGAGCGGAGCTCTATGTTGAGTGGATCAGCCTCCACTGTGGAGCCCTGGTCTCTCCCCGAGCTCCAGCCCCAGAAGTCACGCCTCCCAGCATCCCCTGCGGGGCCTCCAGAGCTCGGCTCCATCTTCCTGCCCAGCAGTGACCGACCTTCAGCTGACCTCTTACCTCCACCGCCCAACTGGGGGTGGAGAGTGAACCCAAAACTGAGATACACGTGCTTGATGGAGAATCGAACCCACGACCCTTCAGGGTGCGGGGAAACGCTCCAACCACTGAGCAACACCAGCCACGCAGAGCAGATTCACGCTCGCTCCCGCCTTTCCCAAACACACCGGAAGGCACTGCGCAGGGCGTTTTATTGTAAAATCGGCACGTCCGCTTGGGGAGAGTCACTCTCCCTTTCCGAGTTCCGTCGCCGGGGCTGGAGAGCAGAGCGCGCGGTACTTCTCTGGGCTTAGCGTGTACACGGACAAGGCGTCCAGGAACTGGTCCAGAGGACAGAGCGGGTCCGGGCAGCCCCGCGGCACCTGGGCCTGCGGAGAGAGGCGTCGGCGAGGCGCGCCCGGGGCCTGCACGCCGCCCGGGGCAGCGGGCAGATGGCTCCCCGCCAGCTCCGGGGACAGCACCGGCCGCTCCTGCAGCCCGCAGCACCGCGTGCGGGTCCGGCTGCGAGACAGGCCAGTCGGCCGGAGCGGGAGGGGCTCGGGTCTGTCCCTGGGCTGCCCCGGCCTCTGCCCCACCGCCACCTGCCGAAGCAGCCGAGGCCCGAGCGCTGACAGCACGACCTCCGGACGCCATCACCAGCTTTCACAACAAGCTCCAGGGAGGACTTTACACCCCGGGCCCGCTGGGAAGAGGGGGTGCCCTGTCCCAGGCCTGGGGGAGGCCCCCGCTCCAGCCGCCGTCTCCAGCAGCGGCTGCCGGCCTCCCGGACCTCACGGGCCACCAGGGGCCTGTGGGCCACCGGCTGGCGACTGTTGCTCCAGCGGCCACAGCCGCCCGCGGGACGCAGGAAGCTGCCGTTCCGGTGAGGGTCCCTGGGCCGAGGAGGGGGCCCGGGTGCGGGAACCAGGTGCCCAGCCACCCCGCCCACCTCGGGTCTCACCTCCCCGTGGTAATAGAGCTGCACAAACCACTCCCGGGACTGCCGGTGCTGGTAGAGCTCCAAGGTCAGGTCAGCAGCGAACGGCGGCCACTTGTGGTCGAAAATCCCCAGGGCCAGCAGCAGGGGCAGGAGGGTCACGTCGTGAGCCGCGTACAGGTACAGCTTCCTGCAACGAGGAGACGGCTCGCACGTCTGTTCCGGGACCCGACCCGGGGGCTGCCTTCCCAGGCAGGGGCGCTGGCTCTGGGGGCAGGGCGTCTGGAAGTCAGGGAGCCGGGCTCAGACCCTCTGAGGCGGAGATGGGAGGTGCCTGTGCCCCTGCTGCCCCCACAAAGCAGGGGCCGCTGGGTGTCCCTCTGGCTTCCTCCTGCCTCGGGCTCCACGCCTGTCCACGGGTCCTCCCGGTGAGATTCAGAGAGGACACTGGGCATGTGCGCCGGGCCCTGCCTCTCCTCTCAGAGCCGCCTGCCTACGCCAATGCTCCTCCTCCTCCTCACCGTGGGATGAGTTCAGGAGAGCGAGGCCCCTCCTAGTCGGGGAAGCTTGCATTTGAGGGGGATTAAGTTCATTGCACCTGTGTGGCCCTCACCACATTCTCCAAATGGCTGATTAGTAATAAAGTTGTGATTTCAAGCCACATCTGTCTGACCCCTAAATCTCTCTCTTGGGAAAGATCATTTATTTGTTGACCCCAAACGAGAGGGCCAGCCCTGGGGCCGGCAGGAACCTACAGACGCAAGGTCCGGGGCAGAGCGGCAAAGGCTGCAGGAGTGTCTGGCCGCCAGGGGACTGTGATGGACGGGAGGGGCGGGCCCACAACCTGCTGTTATAAATCTTGGCCCAAGTCCCTGTGGTTCCTGCTGGAACGCACCGTCCCTGCCTTCCCCTGGCGTCCTCCAAGACGCAGATTCGGGTTCAGCGGGCAAGGCCGGGCCCGAGAAGCTCACAAGCCCAGTCGATGGCAAAGCCGCCCCCACAGACCACACATGGCTTGGAAGATGCACAGGACACTCAGTGTCCACACCGCGGTCCCTCCCGGGCGCCCCCCGCACACGCGGTGCTGGAGGTTCCGACGTTTCCAATCAAGTGTGTCACACCCTCCCCTCCTCATGACGGCACTCTAGCTAACCGGTCTACTAACCAGCTATCTTTGCTTTGGGCTATTGCAATATCAAGTCGGGGATATCATAATTAGCTACTCTGTTGGACACATGTTCAATTAGTAAAAAATAGGAAAATTAATTTAGGATTCTTTTTAGCTAAAATTAAAATTTCAAAACGTGGCAGGATGGGTGTTGCAGGAAGAAAGGTAAAAACGTGAACGTCTTTGGGTCTCGTGGCCTCTTACACACCCACCTTCAGTCCCTGACAGCCTGGTTCTTGCCCCTTGGACCCGGGTGCCCTCCCTCCGGGCGGAGGCCCGCTGCCCCCAGCGGTGGCTGAGCCACTGGGCGTACCTGTGGCTGCCCGGCGGCGTGGCAGGGCCCGCGGCCGTCAGCAGGTTGCGCTCCAGGAGGTGGAGAAACGGTCCGACGGCCATCTGGAGACTCTCCCTGTGGCCAGGAGACAACACGAGGCACCGCCGTCACTCGGCCCAGGAGCCCGGGCCTGTGCTGCCCCGCGGCCCGCATAGGCCGAGCGGACAGAATGAGACAGGAAGTCCAGCACGAGGGACGGCGGCAGCTGGAGGAGAGAGCGGCGCTGCCGCAGGGGGTGAGGTTCTCTGCGCTCACACGCTCCCAACGCCTGAGGCCCAGGACACAGAGCTGGACGCACCCCTGGCTGAGAGGCGGAGGGACAGGGCAGGCAGCACAAGTCACAGAGCCAGGCCCCCAGGAATAAAGGCAGAGCTGGCCAGGGCAGGTGGCATGACTGCCAGGCATCCCAGAGGCCCGAGAAAAGCAATCCAAGGAGCCACACCCTAGCAGCTCCCTGGTGCCGCCTCCCTCCTCGTTTAGATCTGGGTGAGCCATTCGTGGTCGGGTTCCTATGCTCGCAGGGCGGTGCTGTCACCCCCAGGCTGGTCACAGAGCAGCAAAACGGGCCAGCCAGTGGCCAAAGGACTTGGTTTTGGTGCCTCTCACGTTTTATCGAAGAGAAAAGGCATCTCCCCCAGAATCCGCAGAACCCAATCGCCGGCGAAAGTGGATGGAGCTGCCATGATTGGCTCAGCCCAATTCTTACTCATGTGATTGGATAAACGGCCGCCTTTAAAAGCAAGGAGCGTTAAAGCCATAGATGAGCAGGCAACCAATAGGTATGTAGCACACGCTTCCCAGGAAGTGTGTGGAGGCCAAGCCACGTTGGAAGGCGCTGAGAAGGTGTGGGAACATCTCTCTCATGAGACCAGGACTGACTGGAATAGAAGGAGAGTGACCAGGTCTCACTTAACGTGCTTTACCCAGGAGAAGGCACACTGACTACGACTGCCAGTCCGATCTGGTCCACCTCCTGTTTTCCGGATAAAACTTCACTGTGCCCTGGCTGCCTTCACACTTGATAGGCAGAGGTGAGTGAGTACTTGCAGAAGATAAAGCATAAGTCACAAAGCCTAAAGTACTTACTGTGTGTGTGTGTGTGTGTGTGTGTGTGTGTGTGTATTGGTGGAGGGAGGGCAGTCTGGTGGGCCACTTCAGGAACAGAGGTGAAGGACAAGCGGGGAGGGTGAAGGGGGGTGGGGTTGGAGAACAGGACCAAGCTGTAAGGTGCGGCCAGAGCCTGCCGGTGGCCCGTATGAGTGAGGAAGGGGACACAGACCGGAGTGCGAGGAAGTGGCAGAGGCTCTTTTTTACGCCATAGACTGCTCTCCTCCTCCCATGCCTTCCCAGGGCTGTGCCTCTGCTTCCCATCGCCTCTACCAAGTCACCTGCGCTGCCTGCAAGCTGAGCGTGCTCAGCAGCCACAGAGCGGGTCCTGCCATGTGGCAACAGAGACACTGTGCCTCTGACTGTCAGGAAGCAGGCCCCGCAGACAGAGCCTCCCATCAGTGACACAGAGAGAACACGGACAAGGCCTGGCTCTGTCCCTCGCTGAGCCCATTCCTTCGACTACAAGGCCAGGATGTGGACCATCTCACAGCGAGAACTGGGAGGTTATTTGTGAACCGTGAGGGGATGAGCGAAGTGAGCCATAATTCTCTTCCTTCAGCCCCCGCACCCCAAACCTGTGAAACTTTCAGCAAAGGCATGTCAGTGATTTAAGGAAACTCAGCCAAGAGGTGGCTCCCGATTCTGCGTGACCGTGAACAGAAGCACGAGGTGCCCAGCTCCAGTTCCACCTGGGCCAGTGGTCGGCAAACTCATTAGCCCACAGAGCCAACTATCAACGGGACATCGATTGACATTTCTTCCGAGAGCCAAATTTTTTTTAACTTAAATTTCTTCTAATGTCACCTCTTCAAAATAGACTCGCCCAGACTGAAAACCAACTTCTGCGCGTGGGCCACGAAGTTTCGATCACACTGCATGTGTGCGCCTGCACGTGGTTTTTTGTGGAAGAGCCACACTCAAGGGGCCAAAGAGCCGCGTGTGGCTCGCGAGCTGCGGTTTGCCGACCACGGGCCTAGGGGAGCCTGCACACAGCGGCTCCTGCAGCGCCCAGGCCGCCAGCAGGCAGGGGTGAGCTTCCGAGGAGCCCCTCCCCACAGGCGGGGACTCCGCTGCCGGGAGGCCTCACCTGTCTCCGCCCTGCATGTACAAGACCGTGTCCACGGCTCTCTGCTCGATGATCCGGGCACTGCTCCTCAGCGCCGGGCAGCTCGGGAGGCCGTGCACCTGGAAGGGCGCGGGACGGGCTGAGAGAGAAGCGCTGCTCACTCCCGGAGCCGGGCAGCTGGGCAGCCCCCGCGGCGCCCGCAGGGCCCGGGGAGCGCCTTCTTGGAGGGGGAAGCTTCGCAGCTCAGAAAGCTCTGGTCCCTATGGAAGCTATTCCTAGAGCTCTGGAGGCCCAGGAACAAAACCGTGTTTCCTCCCTTTCTGAGGGCTCCCCTTTTACTCCAAAATGAAAAAGATTTGTTTTTGTTTGTTTGTTTTTAACTCTGAAAGAAAAAAAATGAAGAATAAAATACAAGGCAAGCAACGCATGGCCTTCATTTCTCCCAAAACGGAAAGTATGGCGTTTAAATACTTCACAGACGCTTGTCGTATGGCCTCCCACCCATCTCACACCCGAGCACCAGGTGTATTTCCGGCTCCGGGGCTCCTCATCTTCACCAGAAAGGAAGACTGGCTGCCCGGCCAGGGCCTGCCGTCGGAATCTAAGACTTGGCAGTGGGCGGCAGTCGGAGTTAATAGAGAAGAAGTTCTATGGCTCAAAAGTCTGGGAAAACAGCCGTAAAGACCAACCAGCTTTCTCACCACAGGCTTCCCAGAGTCTTTAATGCGCTGATGTGCACTGACTCTTCCAAAACAGATACACAGGGACTCCTTCCTCCCCACCACCCACCCCACCCTGACATCACAGTGCACTCCCAGCGCAGGTGCTCCGGGGAGCGGGCCTCAGGAAACCGATCTAGTTCGATGTCCGTGCTCCTGAATGAGTCCCCGTGATGGCCCCCTGCCCTCACAGCCGCCTGCAAACCAGAGGCCTCCTCCCACGCCCCTCCCACTCAGGGGCCAGGCCACCGGCTGCCCACGCCAGACTCCCCCACCCGCAGGGCCCAAGGACAGGCGTCCCACCTGCTCAGCAGCCATGTTGTCCAGGAGCATGAAGAAGTCCACGCCCTCGCTGTCGGCGATGCCCATGTCCTCCTTCACCTTCTCCAAGTCCTCCGAGATCCCCGGCTGCAGAGAGGCAGCCTGCCTCCGGCCTCTGCCAAAACAGGAAAGGTGTTCCCTGCCCGTGCACAGCGACTAACAGCTTACAAAGCACGCCTCCTGCATCACTGGGAGCCTCATTGAATCCTCAGCAACTCAGAGGGGCTGGCTGTCATTACCCCCATTTTACAGATGAGCAAGCTGAGGCTCTATGAGGTCAAAAATGCCTTGTGAATGTTAGAATAAAAGCCTGGATTTTCCAAATCCCACTCTCGCCTTTTCTTTTATTAAACCCCAAACGACGCAAGCATAGCCCAGGCCTAACTAGACACAGCATTCTTTTCTCCTGTGGGACACACACTTGATCCCGTTAGCACAGCCCAGAAATCCCCAAACACTGCGCAGTGCCGCCAGCCACACCAGCCTGTCGCACAGGGTAAGAAGCCTGTGTCTTCTGCCTGCCCACCTGGGTTTGCAGGTGGCTGACAGGCTCCATCGTCTCGCATTAACCTGTTAGTCTCTTCACCTGCCCCATCAGAGAGCTCCGTTACTGAGAGAATGACGGTATGGAGACAGCAAAGCCACCCGTGGCCGATGGACCATCCCGGCCCAGCACGTGGGGCTCTCCCAGGCTGCCTGCCCCTTCACTACCAGTCTGCCTCCGTGCGCATCTTCACTTCCCAGCAGCATCGCACCTGCGTGTGAGCCCCTCCTCCACCAGCAGAGAGCCGGCAGGTGGCCGAGCATGGCTGAATCCAGGAAAGGCTGTGGGGCCCAGGTGAGTGGCCCCCGGGGTGAGCAGCCCCCCCCCCCCGCCCCCCATGTGCAGGTGCGGTAGCTACCTGGTTCTCTCCCGCAGGCTCCAGCAGCTCTGGTAGTTGGGGTACAGGACTTCAGAGCTCGCCTCGTCCGTGTGGATGACGATGGGTCCTGGAGGGAGGGGGGCAGGAAGAGGCTTCAGCTGGCTCCTCCTGGCTCCTCCTGGCTCCTCCTCCCCTTCCTCTCTCGTCTGCCCAAGCAGCCGCTCCAGCAGGCAGGCCATCGAGGTCACTCCCGCAGGACAGTGAGCGCCCTCACAGCCCGGCCCGCCCACAGGAGCGCCCTCTGGTCTGGCGATGGAGAAGGCAAGTGGCAGCCGTGTGCACACGCACCTTACTGGGCCACCACAGACTGTCTCCTCCCTCCGACGCTCAGAGACCTCACACCTCCGCATGCTCTGCTCCGTCCCAGGCCGGGCGGGGCCTGTGGCAGCTGCCCGGTCTGCAGAGCTCAAGCCTGACCCCTGACGGTCAGAGCTCCGTCAGCAGCTCTTTGGAATTGGCCGAGGTCAATCGGTGGAGGATTAGGAGAGTCTAGTACTCCCAAGTTAGTGACCGTCAGGGCCCAGGACCTGACAGGCAGGCTGTGCTAACTAGACCAGAATGTCAATGCAGACACACTTCGTGGGTCACATGACCCGAGGGCTCTCCAGAGGCACGTGTCTTAGAGGACGAAGGTGCAGGGCGTGGGCTCTGCGACCGGACCCCAGGGTATGACTCCCGCTCCGCACCCGCCCGCTCTGTGTCCTGGGAAAGTCACGGCACCTCTCGGGGCCTCAGTCCTCTCCTCTGTAAAGTGATGACATCATTGCCTGCCTCGCGGGCGGATCACAAGGATAATGTTCGGTGAATGCAAGTCCTTTCAATGTTAGAATAATAACTACTGTAACTTAAACCTTTGATATAACAGGGTAGCTTTTATCTGGAATTGGGGTCTGGAAATTGTATGATAAATGAGGCACAACTGGGTTGGCACTCAAATATGTGTCGACCGAATGACTGACCACATGGACAGACCAGCAACTTCCGGTGTCTCCCTCAGCCTGATTCCCTAAGCCCTGCACATCACAGGCGGCTCTTTGGCCCTTGAGTGTGGCTCTTCCACAAAATACCACGGCCTGGGTGAGTCTGTTTTGAAGAAGTGGCCTTAGAAGAAGTTTAAGTTTAAAAAACGTGGCTCTCCAAAGAAATGTCCATCGTTGTGTTGTTGATAGTTGGCTCTGTGGACTAGTGAGTTTGCCGACCCCTGCCCTGGCCCAAATACAACCCTCTGGGGTTTCTCTAAGCGTTCACTCCTGAAACAACATCCCAAAGTTCACCACTTCTATCCATCGTAACCTTGTGGGGTTCTCTGGTCTATTCAAGCCCCTCGATTTGGTCCAGGTGTGGCAGGTGTGACGTGGCCGTGACAGAGCATAGTGGGAGGCCCACGATAGCTGGTCCCACGCGGGGAGCTGCTCCCGGCAGCCACACCAGAGGCCGAGGACACATTCCTTCCTTCCCGGGCGCAGGCAGCCTCGTCGGGCCGGTCTGCAGACCAGCCCGCACCCAGGAACAGCTCTCCCCCGGCAGCCACAGCCGCCTCAGAGAAGAGGATGCTGCCTCCGAAGCGGAGGAGGGAAGAGCTGTTGGAAGACCAGCCTCCGTGGGTGGTTCCTAAGCTCAGGGGCTCCTGGAAGTGAGAGGCAGTCCATCCTGCCCGCTGTGTTTCTCAGACATACACAGCAGCCAACCTCAGCAGGAAGCAGCAGCTCCACCAACCGGCCGGGACCGGCCGGGAGCAAGGCCAGCCTCCCCTGGCCTGGAGGTGTCCATCCTTGTACCTGTACGTTTAACAGCCTGAGGACATGACACAGCCACTTGAGATGCTGCTAAAGAAGCTGCACAGAACAACCGGAGCCTCTGGCCGATGGCACCGCTGTCGTGTTTTAATCTCAGTGAGGCCATGCTGCGCTGAAACTCACGCTAGCCACTAAGTGTGCATTTGAATCGGCTGTATGTGAGGAAATGCAGCTTCGTTTGATAGGCAGAGGCCTCAGTGCGGGGCCCCTGAGGGCAATGAGCTGCAGCCTCGGTGGGGGAAGAGCTGGGAACTCGCTGCGATCCCTTGCAGCTGAGTTTGTCAAAACCCGAACTCCATCGACTTTCTCACTAGGCAAGGCGAGCGAGTGCTGGTGCTACTGCCCGGGTCACGGGCAGCTGGCCACCGAGCCCAGGGCCACGGCACTGGCGTCGGTCCCAGCCAGCCTCCCTCCTCCTCTCAGCAGTGTCTTCCCCTAAGCAAGAAGCCCCCCGCTGCTCACAGGGCCGCAGGGCTGCCTCCTCAGCTTGTGCAGGTGATGGGGGGAGGAGGAGGAAGGGAGGGAAGAGGAGGAGGAGGAAGAGGAGGAGGCAGAGCGCCATCAGAGCAGCTGGCTCACTCTGCAGCCATGGCGATGAGGCGGGCCAGGCAGGAGCCCACTCTGGGAGGGCCACGGGAGCAGGTAGCCACGGAAGCCACGCGTGCAGGAGAGGCCCGGGGAGCAGGCCCCAGGAAGGCCTCAGGAGGGGGGCGGGGCTTTGGGATTAGGAAGAAAACGCTCCCCAGGGGAAGGGGCTGACGTTTAGACTCCAATCCAAACCTTCTTTCTGACACTGGAAAAGCCCAGCCAGCAAGCACCGCGTCGACTCCAGATTCCGATGCATGTTAGTGGAACGGACACTGGAAAAGGCAAGAAGGTGGCAGGACTCAAAAGGGAAGACTTCATTACTTACACTAGTAATTCCTCAGAGCTCGGGTGGGGAGCTCTCCTCTCTGGGACGGCTGCCCCAGGCACCGAAAGGCAATGAATGTGACGCCAACGACCCCTTCCCACAGGATCCTGTCTCAGAGGGCAGCTGCCCTGGTGCCCTCAGGTCAGAGTGGGAATCCGGTTTCCTCCTGCTCCAGACCTTACCCTGGTGCCACCTCTGCTTTTCAGGGGACTCACAAGATCTCACGTGGGTTGAAGGTTGGCGAGAGGAAGGGGGTGTCCTCCACGTAGCTCTTCCTCAGCCTCTCTCCCAGGGCGAACATCTGCCGCATGCCCACGCTGGTCAGCTGGCCAGCCAGCACGCCCCCCTGCGGAGGGGAGGCCGAGGGGAGAATGGAGGCTCCTGTCTGCCGCCCGGCCGGCCCCGAGGAGGCCCAGCTCTGCAGGGCTTCCCGGCGGAGCGGCTCACCTTCAGGACGGTCCCTCGGTACTGCGAGTCAAATGGAGAAGGCGGCCTGGGGCCGCCTGCAAGGTCGGTGACGGTGTAATCAAACCGGGTTTGGGGCGGCACTTCCAGGAGCTGGGGATGCCACTCTACCTGTTGTAATCACACACACAGAAACACACACCGAAAAGGCCCGTTGTTTAGAAGGTTCTGGAAACATCCGGCAGCGCTAGGAACACTCAGCCGGAATCACGCTGACACCAGACCTGCGGCTTTCCCGTGGGAGCGGAGGGGAAGCGTTGACTCCAGCTCCAATTAAAGGGGAGAAGACCGGGTGTCAGGCCAGGTGTCCTTAGTCCAAGCCCTGTCATTGCTTCACTGTTAAGAGGCTGCGTTGGCACGAAGTCCGGACTGAAGTAAAGGGAGAGGGGCCAGGATGCCCGACACACAAACACTGGTGAGTGAATGAATGAATGAACGAATGAGTGAATATAATCTCAGTGACCATATACCTGTAAGAACTGGTAAGGAATGAACCTGCAGGTTCTATGGCCCCCCCTTAAGGACTCTATGTAATGTCCCCGTAACCACCACGTGTTTCCCTTCCTTTCACCCGATTCCTCAAACAAGCCGCTGCCTCAAAGAAACCTCCACTTCCTCACCGTCCCCCTCACTGCCTGCACCCTGGCTCCGCTCCAGCTGTACTGAGATGGTTTTCAAAACATCACACGTGGCCCCCAAGTCAGATCTGACTCTCCATGCTGCTGACCACGAGCTAGAAAAAGTCACTCCAATGTCCTTCGTTCATCGCACCGAGCACAAGCCTGACTACCTGAGGCCCAGCCTGACAGATTCCCCCCCCCTGCACCCACAAAAGCTCCCCAGGGGTAGGGCTGATACCCTACCTATCCCACCAGGAGCTTCCCCTAATGTTGCCTTTGAGTCCCGCCACCTTCTTGCCTGGCCTTCCAGGACTGCTGCGCCTCGGTCCAGCCCCGCCCCCAGCTGTCCTGCCTCCACCGCTCCCCTCCCCTCCCAGCCAGACCTCGCCCAGTGCTCCTCTGCATCCTCCTCAGCTTGTTTCCTACTTGCTCAGAGGGACTCCGGTCTCCGTGGCCCATCCGACTTCTCTCAAGGTTCAGGTCTTACTAAACATCAGTGGCTACTCCAGCTTTCAGTGATGGTCTTACCCGAACTACTACAGCACTTCCAATCAAAAGAACAATACTTAATTCAATTTCCCACTACTTTGTTTTAAAACTGACATCTGAAAACCTATTATGTCCCATACGGTTGTATTTATTGGGACTCCCTCCCTGACATATCCCAGGAGAGAGCCACTGGGAGTCCCAGGTTCTCTGTACAGGGAAGCTCTCCATCCTTCCAGAAGGAATGGCCTCGCTCCCACCTGCACCTCCTCCCAACACCGGAGTCTCTCCCGCTGCTGGTGCTGTAGCAGCTGATATCAGAAGATGGGTGTTCAGAGCGGAGACCTTCTTCCTTCTACCTTTTAATCGCTGCTCCTTCTTTCATCGCATCCAAGGTCTGAAGTTATCACTTTCCTGCATAAAACCCGTCAAGGGCTCGCAGAGTGTGACGGCCCCTGCCTCTCTCTTCTCCCTGCCCTACACACGCTTCTCAAGCACACAACTAGGTCCCTCTGGCACCATTCTCACAAGCTGTTGGTCTTGTAGCCTCATGTTTCTTCTACCTAGAATTTTCTTCTCTCTTTCATCTGGAAAGACTTCTGCTCATCCCGCAAGACAGCGTAAACTTTCCCAGAAGCTATGAGCATGGCCCCCAGCTCCCAGGGACCTCGGTGGCTTCTATCCAATTGTATGAGAAGAGCTTTTTTGCCAGGCGGTCCTGCTCAGTAGATTTGGCTCCCCAAGGCCAGAGGCTGGGTCATCTACAGCCTCTGCATTCTGGATGCCCAACAAAGGGCCTGGCACCCAATAGGCACAATTAGTAGCTCTGGCAATCCGCCGGCTCCCGTGGAAGATACCAAGATTGAGATAACTGACCTGCCTTTTGGCATTTTCAGGTTAGCAGAGACGGCCAGCCATGAATGAAAGTGACAGCGGTACTAAAATAGAAACCACGTGCTACAAGAAACCAAAGGAAGGCCACGGGAGTTCAAAGGCAAGACAGGCCTGCTCTTCTGGGCCGGGGATTCCGGGAAGTTTCATGGAAAGAATGGCATCTGGAATGAGCAGGATTCATTTGGTATGACCCAGATCATGCAGAGATCGGGATGTGAGCTACAAAGTGGGTAAGAGGAGAGAAAGGTATTGAGAATTCAAGAATACAAGGTGAGGGGTGGGGAGTAGGTTTACAGCTGTTCATAGGGAAAATAATACAATGACTAATAAATAATAATGCTAGGATAAACTCTGCATTTTGTGTATTCACAACTGTAAACCTACTTTTGCCCCACTCTGAACACAGAAAGCTTGAGCAATGGTGAAGAATGTATATAGGAAAGAAGCAGTTTGATTTGCTTCAACCTGGGAGCAGTTTTTAAACTTCTTAATTAGTAAATGCCAAATAGAGTTTAACTTTAGGCAAGACCTGGAATTTCCCTAGTTGAAGCAGGAGTGGGAACCCAGAGCCCCAGCCACTCAGCATCCCCCTCACCCACGGGCTCCCTAAAACAGTTTGGCAGCCGGAGGTCCAGATCCCAATGAGACGGAAAGCCTGGTTGCGGAAAAGCCAATTTCAAGATGTCTGCAACACAGTAGAGGGAGCTGAAGGCCACTTCCGGGGCAGCAGGAATAGGAGGAGTTGGTGCAAGACATGTGAGTCAAACTTGGCAAGTGAGCAGTTGAAAGGTTTATTTGGGGGTTATGTTGGTGGGTAAACAAGGAAGAATAAACAAACATTACTTTGATTTTGAGCCTGGGTGTCTAAGGTGACAAGGGTAATGGAGGTACTTCTTGACTAAAACAAGACCCAGACAGAAGAAGAGCGGACAAGCTGAGTTCAGTCTGGGACATTTTAAGACTGAGATACCGCTGGTGTGTTCCAGTGCTCCCTGCATGGTCCTGTAACTGGGATCTGTGTGTCTCCTTCGCCACATTGTAATTTTTACAGCCCACACTGAATTGTCCACCCTTGTAAGCCCAGTGTCCAGCGCAGGTCCTGACACCAAGCCCTCAGGGCCGGGTCAGCCTCAGAAATCTCCCGTTAGGCAGAGTCTCCGAAAGAGGATCCTTGGTGTTTCCCAGGAATGGATCCTGAAAATCTAGGTCATGCCAAGTCTAGAGCACACGTGTTCAGATTTTCAAGAATTAACAGCACATCACGTCCACCCTACAGATACACTCTCATTCTCATTCCTGTGTTAGTGGCAAAGACTAACTTTGTAATTTTACTTATTTATACCCTATTTTCAAGAAATAACATAAAGCAGATGAGAGCAAAACCTCAGTCAACCAATACAAAATAAGCAAGAAAGACAAAAGCTTCCAGCATAGGAACAAAAAGAAGTGGATGCAGTGATAAAGTTACTCAAAAATGCACACCATGAAGATCCACATGTGTGCTGTAGGTGGGCCATGATTCAACACTGAGCTTTCTGGCTTTTTGGTAAAAGGAGAAACCTGATCAGCTAGATAAGCTTAGAGATATAAACAAGCCATCGCCATTTCCAATGCTAACACACATTCCTCCCAAGGGCCCCCAGAAAGAGGACAGAGAAATACACTGAGTGGCCAGATGATTATGATCTCTGAATGCATAATAATCTGGCCATTCAGAGTGTGTGTAATAATACACATATTAGAGACCCAGTGCATGAATTTGTGCATGGACAGGGTCTGGTAGAGGGGACAATTTGCATATTAGCCTTTTATTATATAGGATATACACTGCGTGGCCAGATTATTATGCATTCAGAGATCATAATAATCTGGCCACTCAGTGTATAATGGACATCTTTTCAGTAGTCACAGCAGAGAGTTCCATGGGACAGCTTTTCATGGTTTCCTCAACACAGAAAGAGAGCATCTCACCAAGGCATAGTCCTGTGAAGACAGTACTATTCTGGCATCGATATGCCATGTTCCGAGTAAAAGAAAAACTACATAAAACGAAACACAAACCTTCCGGGTGTAGACTTTTAGAATAAAGCAATGGTCTTAAGGCTTGACCACACACTGGCATCCCCGGGAAATTTTTAATAAGTTATCAATGTCTGAACCCCACCTGAGTTAATCACATCCATTTCCCCTAGGGGTGGGGCCTCAACTTTTTTTTTTTAAATATATTTTATTGAGTTTTTACAGAGAGGAAGAGAGAGAGGGATAGAGAGTTAGAAATATCGATGAGAGAGAATCATCGATCAGCTGCCTTTTGCACACCCCCTAATGGGGATGTGCCCGCAACCAAGGTACATGCCCTTTACCGGAATCGAACCCGGGACCTCTCAGTCCGCAGGCCGACACTCTATCCATTGAGCCAAACCGGTTTTGGCTGCCTCAACTTTTTTAATGCTGCCCAGTCCAGACCCTTCTAAAAGCTTCACCAGAGAAGCCTGTTCCACGTCTGGATGCTCTAGGCTAGTGGTCACCAACCTTTCAGATCTCACATCAGTGGTAGGCGGGACCACTGGTTGGCGGGCGACTGCTGCTCTTGGCCAATTAAATCAGAATCTGAGGGAGAGAACCAGGCGTCAGGTTTTTTTAAGCTCCCCATTGAGTCCGATGTCCCTTCCCCTCCCCCCAGCAAAGAACCACTGTTCCAAAGGAATGAATAAACCAACCAGCATATCCTCCACGCAGTGCTTCCTGAACACTCTTTGCTTAGCTGCGCTGTGGCCACGTATGAAGCAACAATAAGACTACATTATGCTTTCCAGCTCATTTACATTACCAAGTAAATACAGAACCCAATGCCTCCATCAACAGTGGAGCTGAGATAGGCTGCATTTTATTTTACAAAACCCCAGGAACTTGCCTGAATTGGAGGCCACTTTGCCGCTGTCTAGAGGGGAGCTGAGGGAAACATGGAAGGAGGGACACTTTATCTTTTGAATATGCACTTGGATCCAATCGAATCATGGGGGTGGGGGAGGCCAATCGAGTTCCAGAGTTTTATTTCCAGAGCAGAGCTAAAGGAAGACCAGTTAAGTCCCAGCCATTCAAGCCATCAGAAAGCAACTCAATAAAACACCTGGTTTTACACAAAGCTACTTCCTGGGGATTTCTGAGATAACGGGATGAAGTGACTTGTCAGCGGTCTGGAAACAAAGGCTATTTTAGTTTTAGATCTGTGGCCATAATTAATAGCAAAACCAGTAAGATTAGAAAATCCCAGTAACAACTTCTAATAAACTGGATCTTGAAAAGAAAGCCTGAGAGAAGAGCTCCAAAAACAGTGACTGGAAGCCAAGGACACCAGCTCACAGCTCAAACAGAGGGCTGGCTCCACCCCCCAGTTGTGTGCATAAGACTTCATTCAAGATAGCAAAGATCGTCAGTGCATCTGCCTAAAGTCTGGAGAATGTGTGCAGGCAGGAGAGGTCACTGCCTTTCCTAACTGAAGAGAGAGGCCAGGGACTCGGGGGTTCCATTATCCCGTGGCAGTACAGACAGAAGATGGAGTGTGCATTCTTCCTGAACTACAACCGCAGCATACAGGCAAAGGATACCATCACACACACCCAGCTCAGGAGAAACCCTTAAAAAAAAAAAAATTTAGGTTCATTACTGTACACACGAAGTCCAGGACTAGACATTCAGACTTTTGTTCTCATAATTTTGTCTTTGATATGAGTCCTCTATTCCTGTATGTTATTTTCCAGCTTTCCTGTCCCAAGAATAAATGAATGAGGGAGAGTGCAAAGAGATGGGCTATGTGCAAAATCGTGAGGAAAATGTGGTGACCCAATATACAGAGGCAAAGTGAGGGATTGCCAAAGAAAGAGAAAGGGAGAGAGGATGGAGGGGAGGAAGGAATGGCAGGGGGAAGAAAAGAAATTCCAGCACCAGACAGTGGGACAGCCATATGGAAAGGCTAGCTAGAAATCCGGTAAAAGAATTAAGTGCCACCCAAGATTGACCCGTGTGGGAAGAGCTTTAAAGGCTGGATGTATTCTGTGGCCAGCTTTAAAACTGGGGCTGCAGTGCACAATGTGAGCACACAGCCCGAAAGGTTTCTGGACAGCGACTCTGAAGGGCATGCCACCAAGTTGGACATCCACCAGGAGGACTGACAATGCACAAGCCTCACAGGTGAGAGGGAGGCTGTGCCTGAGGCTTCAGGTTGCACAATCATTTGCACTGAAAGCCAGTCCTTCAGTCTCAGGTCCTCCTGCCATGGGAGGCCAGAAACCTTCACCCCAGAAACGGTATTTAAAAAGCTAATAATGCGTGCTTTAATCATAATTTTCCTGACCGGGTATATTTTAAGACCTTAGAACCACAAGAGTCGCCACTTTTTTAAACTTTTTTTTCCTACCTCAAATCCCTTCCCCAATAGGTTTAGAAACCCCAACTAGAAAAGAACCCCAAGATCCTGCACTTGTTACCAAAAAGCCTGCAGGGAAATCCCACACAGTCTCCTGCGAACCCTGAGCAAGCTGCTCCCAAATCTGTTACCCACTCTGATCGCGGTGAGGGTGGTTCCTGTCACAAAGGTCGCTGCAACTCTGACAGCTTTCAAACGCCCTCACACGGAAATAGACTTCAACCCTTGTACTTGAGGGCACACAACTCTTTGTTAGAAACGCAGAATCTCAGGCCCTAGCCACCCGGCTGGATCAGAATCTTACAGGGCGCCCGGGGAAGTTGCACAGCCGCAGCCCAGGGGGGTGAGGCGAGGGCGGGCTCCAGACCAGCACCTCTCTCTGCTCAAGAGCCAGGGGGTGACCTGGCGAGGGCTCTTTTCACTTCTTCTGGACCGAGCCCGGCTCAGAGAGGATGAAATTCCAAAGGGGTGTCCCCTGGAGGCCCCCGGTCCCGGCCCCGCTCACCTGCTCCTCCAGCGGCAGCGGCTTGAGCGGGCTCCGCGCCCCGTGCCGGAACACCACCTGCACCATCTTCAGCTCCAGCCGGCTCCGGTCCGCGGGGAGCCCGCCGGCCGCCCCCCGCGGCTCGGCCCGGGCCCCGCGCCGCTGGTGGGCCCAGTACGCCAGCGAGGCCAGCGCGCCCGCGGGCGCCCACCTGCGCACCCCGAAGGCCCGGCTGGCCATGGCGAGGCCTCCTGCCCCCGAAGAGGAGGCGCCGGGGCGCACGCCCCTCGCCGGCTTCGGGGCTCAGCAGCCGCCCCCTATTCCCGGGAAGCAGCGGGCGCGCACATCCGGCCCCCCGATGTGGGACCGCTGCGACCCCGAGCCCTGGGTCCCCGGTGGGAAGGTGGGGTGAGGACCAAGTGGGAGCGGGAGGGCTCCCTGGGGGGTTTAACCCGCGGGGGGCCGGCCGCTCCAGCTGCAGCCTGGGGCGGGGGTCAGTTCCCAATCTTTCGCCTTGCGGAACCTTAAACTTCTATTCCAACTCGGGCCTCCCGCACTCTGGAAGGGACAGGAACCAGCCTGAGTTCCTCGGCGACAGCGACACCCCCAAATAGACTGCTGGGTCCCACTTTCCTGCAAGCACCCTGCACCCACCGCCACCCGCAGCCAGGACCGGCTCCCCGGCCCGCACCCCGCGACGCCGCGCGGAGGAGCACGGGAGAACCAGTCCCGCGGCGACGCCCGTCCCGCAGCGGAGCCGCGAGAACTACAAGTCCCACAAGGCTGCGCGCGGAGAGGCACCGCCCCGCGCCCCGCCCCCTCTAGGTTGGTACTTGTCTTCTCCAGAACTGGTGGCCGCTGCAGTGGGAGTGAGTCAGCTAGTTTGCCAGGCGGGTAGAGTAGGAATTGAGGACAGTGACAGACTTGGGTATGGAGGGCAGGGTTTTGGGTCCAGCACGTGTAGTCGATTTCATCGAAGTCCTGGAAGGAGGAGTTGCTGAAGCCAAGAGCGGAGCACTGGGCGCTAATCTTCATGAGCTGTCCCCTCTCGCCCCGTCTTGAAAGAGACTTAAATCATCGCAAAACACGCAGATGTTTGAACTCACGGATGTGTGTACTTACATCCAGACTGTTTTCTCGTGGAAAATTCCAGGCCTTGTCTGCAGGTGTCACAACCTTAAGTTACAAAGAAGAAAGCCAGCTTACCCACCCGTGGGTCTGGTTCTCTTGACTAGACAACTACCCCAGGCCTGTGTTTCGGATCCTGGCAACAGGGCACCGTGTGACCATCAGCGTCTATCCGAAGGCGAAGGTCACGTTGAGAGGAGAAGCATTTGTGAGAGAGTCTGACATCTAACCAGTTCTTTCTTCATTCCGAAGTCTATCCTTGAATCCAACTGGACCACATATGAAGGGAATATATGTAGGGAGTATGGCTCCTGAGAGTTTAACGGGGTTCACCAAGCCAGAGGTTTCTGAATGTCCTCCTTGGGGGAAGGGCCACTTGGGAACACTACACCTTGTCACTCTTTCTCCTGGCCTATCCTGAGGAGGCACGGTTCAGAGTGAATTGTCCTGATGGGATTAGAACCGAAAGCTGGTTTTCCAGAGTCCACCTCCTAAGACCTCAGGAGCACCAGGCCACACAGCCTTGGAACCTGTGGAATGAAGGGCAACCCAGTTTGTTACATATGGGTTGGAGAGAGCTGTTAACACTTCCATGAAAATGTGGCGCAGCTTTATAGAGTTGTAGGGCCTGATATAGGAGCAGCATTAGCATCTCTGAGAATTCTAGCACATCAGACCCCTTCCAGACCATGGGATATTGGTACCTGGGCATCCAGGCCCTCTGCATAATGGGCAGCCGCCCTCCTCAACACCCTGCATTCTGGCAGCTTGGGCCAGACCTCTCAGCCGTCAGGAGCAGCACCTTTGACCTGCATGAGCAATAGCAGCGGTTCATCCTGCAGGTGGTTGAGGTGTGGGGGCGGGGGAACATCCTAGGGAGCGTTCGGTGCTGGGGATGTCTCAGCAGATCTGCAGGAAGCCAGAGCCGGTTAGGTGGGGAAACACAGGCTCCGTGTGATAGTTGATAGCACTGAGTGTCAGCACAGGTGAGACCAGCCTTGGGGAGTCCTACAGATACTTGATGTGTGATGTGTGCAGTGGAGATAGTGGTAGTAAGCTGCAATTTAAACGGAGAAGAGAGAAATCTTGAAATCATGCTCCGGAGTTGGGGGATGGAGAGAACTTGACACTGTGGCCCTGGTTTTACCACCAGGCAAGTGGGAAGTAAGCCCTCCTTCCACCAAATTGTCTTTTCTTTTTTTTTTTCTTGGTTGATTGGAGCAGATTTTAATAAAATCTAAAGGTTTTTGAGAGTCAATTTTTTTTATTATGTCCAAATTGTCTTTTAATACAATGCCCAAAACGCAATGTTAACCATGAGATTAGGTAAGAAGCAATCATGATATTCACTGTTTTATCTCCAGTGGTGAGCACAGTGCCAAGCTCATGGTAAGTAGACCATAAATACTTGCTGAATGAATTCATAGGATATACCAGGGGCCCAGTGCATGAATTCATGCACCTTGAAAGCAACTGTGGACCCTGAGGCTGCAGTAGGCACAGGAGTGGGTCTCAGCCCATCCCCCATGCCCCTGTCCGGCCCTTCCCCGTGACCTCCCCTCCACTTCTGTCTGCCAGCAGGCAGTTCTGCTCCCACTACCTCTACTCCCAGGTGCTGATGGCACCGGCCACTCACACCCTTTCTGGCACCCTCTGGAATGAGAATGAGGGGGAAATGGGAGCAAGGATGGAGATGCCCTCAGGGGCGATTAGGGCCAGCAGCTGCCACTCGCACCCACTGATCGGGACTGCAGCCAGGCTCTGGCAATGTGTGTGGGTGGCGGCTCTGGCACCGGCTGCAGGTGCCAGCAGGTCAGTGTCAGCAGTGGGTGTAAGCGGCAGCTGCTGGCCCCAGTCACCCCTCAGGAGCAGGGGGAGGGTGAAGAAGCCCTGAGGGGCGATTGGGGTGGGCAGCCACTGCTCACACCTGCTGACGGCACCGGCACCGAGCGATCAGAGCCACTGCTTGCGCCCTGACACTGGCAGCAGGTGCAAGCACTGGACAGAACCGCAGCGTGTGGGAACAAAGAATTTTTAGTAACCACCAGAGGATCATCCAGATGACAGCAACCAGCACTCTGCCTTGGTCTGGCGCTCCCCCCTTGCTCACCTGCTCCATCATCCTGCCACCACCAATGCCTGCCATGTTCTGTGCTCTGCCACCTACTGCCACCCAATGTTCCTCACGTGCTCCCTGGTGGTCAGTGCACATCATAGCGACTGGTTGTTTGGTTGTTCGGTTGTTCTGCTCGCTGTTCAGTCTATTTCCATATTATATATATATTATTGAAATGTTGTTATAAAGACTTTCGAACCAATGGAAACTATTTGTATTAGAACGCTATTGGTATTAATATGGAGTCTGCATTAGACTCTCCACTCATATGAGTCAAGATAGGAAGATGAAGACAAATGAGAAATACTTTCTTTGAAGCAAAAACCAATCTAGCTTGTTATAGATGGGGGAAAAATAGTTTCTGCAAGGAAACAAAGCATTGTCCACTCTCCCCACAAAAAAATCTCCTCAGAGTTCTCAACCAAGAGATAGGATTCACGCCGAAAACAGTTTGGCTTGGTGGATAGAGCGTCGGTCTGCGGACTGAAGGGTCCCAGGTTCGATTCTGGTCAAGGGCATGTGCATTGGTTGTGGGCACATCCCTGGTGGGGAGTGTGCAGGAGGCAGCTGGTCGATGTTTCTCTCTCATCAACGTTTCTGGCTCTCTGCTCCTCTCTCCTCCTCTCTGTGGAAAATCAATAAAATATATTAAAGAGAGAGAGAGAGAGAGAGAGAGAGAGAGAGAGAGAGAGAGGATTCTTTGAAAATAATTGGATAGAGAAAAATATTTAAGCACAGCTTAAAACTATCTCTTCTATTGCTTTATCATTCCCTTAACTAGTATAAATTCTGAAAGGAGTTTTCAGCAACTGGCAAGTATTTCACAGATCAATGATGAGCACTGTCACTTTAAAAAGATCATAATATTACTTCATTTTAAACTCCAATTAAATTTTATTTTATTTAGTGCTTACTTTAAGCAGTATTTTATTTTAATATTAGAATGTTTATTTTATTATTTCAGTATATTTACATTTTGCTTATGCTTATGAATTTTTTATTTGAAATGTATTAAATGCTTTATTTTACTGATCTCAAGTACTTAAAATATATTATCTATACAAATAAAAGCCTAAGTGACCACCTGACTGGCCTATTGGCCAGTAGCTATGATGATGCCCACTGACCACCAGGGGGCAGATGCTCAACACAGGAGCTGCTGAGCTGTGGTGACTTGGCAGCTGTGGTTCTCAGGTAATGTGCCCAAAACCAGAGAGGAGGGAGCCCCATTCCGGGTGCATTACCTAGAACTGCCCTCTTGCAATCCGGGACCTCGTGGGGGATGTCAGAGAGCCAGTTTCGGCCCGATCCCCATAGGCTAGGCTGAGGAATCTCACCAGTGCACAGAATCCATGCACCAAGCCTCTAATGTAAAAATAAATACCAAAATATACTGAAATTTCACTCCAGGACTTAAGAGAGCCTTTACTTTGGCACTGAAGGCCCTTGTAATTAGTCTCCAGCTGCCTGTCTAGAGAACCCATAAAAATCAGAGGAAACTAGCCCTACCTGGTTTGGCTCAGTGGATAGAGCATCAGCCTGTGGACTCAAGGATCCCAGGTTTGATTCTGGTCAAGGCACATACCCAGTAGGGGGTGTGCAGAAGGCAGCTGATTGGTGTTTCTCTCTCATTGATGTTTCTAACTCTCTATACCTCTCCCTTTCTTTCTGTGAAAAAAAAAGTCAATAAAAGATATATTTTTTAAAAAAATCAAAGGAGGCTGGAATATTGTCCCCAAATCACACCAGCTCACAATAAAGGTATGCTCAAGAGGGAGTAGTGAACTCTATCCAGCGGCCCCAGAGAAGTCTTAATGAACTTGGAACTACCTGAATTAAAAGGAAATTTATAACTTACAGAAAATAAAATTCACTCTCTTAAAGTATACAATTAGTCATTTTTAGCATATTCACAAAGATGTGCTGCCATTTCCATTATGTAATCCCAGAACATATTCATTATCCCAAACACAACCTCATACGCATTAGCAGTCAT